ACGTCGACAGAATTTAAAAGAAGCTTTTCCTGAAATCCAAAGTCGTTATGCAAATGCCCCATCAATTCGAACGTTGGGCTCCTTTCGCAATAAGCGCTTCGCCACGTTAACCCCTCATTGTCTCTGTTCGGGTCAGCGTCGTCCATGCGCCCCGCCGGGTCTTTGCGAAACAGCCCCGCTGCGAATTGCGAATTCAGAGTAGGTTCGGAATAATTAAGCAAACACTCCAGAACGGCCCTGTAGGCGTACGTGGAACCGCTCTGAGAAATGAGCTTATCGCCGAGGGACAGGTCGACTTGGCTAAAAAGAGTAGCCGCGGGTTAATTGATCAAACCTACGGCCATGCCGGCCGCCAGATCGGTTCCGTCCGCGTTGGTAACGTTACACGTGAGGTACAAAAGCGAACGGTTCAGATCGACGTAGGTGTCCCCCGACCCCGCTATAAAAAATTCCAGGGGGCCGTTTTCGGTAATGGCCGTGATTGGTGGCGTTTCTACATATTTGTAGGATTCTATACTGTGTTGCGTCATAGGGATCGTAAATAGGTCAAGCTCGGACTTCATGCATTCCGCCGAGGCGCTGTGTATGAGAGACATCTTTTAAAATATGTCGGGACCCGCGCCGGTTTTCCGCTCGCTCTTTTTTCTTCTTATTCCTTAAACGAGAGGTGCGGACGAGCGCACCGCCAGCTTCCTGTTCAGACTGAGGCCTTTTGAAAAAACGCTTTTATTTTTAAAAGGTGCGGAACCGCGTCGCCCAGGGGGGCACATTCGCACGGCTCAAAACCACCAGGCCTTCAACCTCCTGCCGCCTTTCTGACACGTTTCCCAATAATTTTCCCGCTGCGTCTTTTGCACGTAATAAGCAGACATTTTTATCGGATCGGTCTAAAATGTAGCTTCTCGATGACTTTTCCAAATTCGAATTTGACGTTTCGGTTTTGATCCATCTTTAACTCTATTAAAATTTCATCAAACACGTGTTTGCTGACCGGGTTGTAGTGCACCTTGTCAAAGTTTAGCGTGACGAAATCCAGATGCGCTTCGGGTATTTGAATAGTTAAAAGAGGTGCTGAGGTATCGGCTACAATCTGATGCGAAGAAATATCAGAATAAAGAAACAAATAAAACGTTCTGCCTTTAATATGGGCAGGGAATTTAGTTTCGGTCGGGTCCGTCCACTTCTGTTCCTCGAATCCCAGAATGTGCGCCAACTGTCCGTGCGTTCGAATCTGAATAGGCCATCTGTTCAGCGAGGTCAGTCGTGTAATCTCCTCCGGCGTGACCCCTAATTTTATCCGTCTCGTGACCTTATCCAAATATAATTCGACGTGGGTTTTGGTGGTTCTAAAATATTTGTTCATTTCGGTCAAAATGTCATTGATGTAGGTATAATATCCACATTTTGATTTAAAAGACACCTGTTTGCTGAGATCCGGCCCTTCGCACACCCAAAAGTCCGTTTCCTGTCACCCGCCGTCCACCAGCGTGTACCAACTCTGGGGAAATGTCGCTACACCGACCTCCCATCTGCCCTTGAGATGAATAGTTTTGGCTAACTTCACCCTGTAGCTGGATATATCGTTTTGAGGGTATAATTTGTCGCTGGCGTTACTCAGCAGAGTAATAAAAAAATCTCTGTTTTTTTCCATGGTGGGTCCCGCGCTTCCGAATAGGCCCTCGCCCCGCTCTCTCACGGGTTTATCGAGCGTCCAGGATAGAATTTTCGTTTACCCAGGAGTCATTTTTTTATCCCAACCTTTCCATCTCACCTTAACGAGAACCTCGGATTTAGTTTTTTCCCAGCCAGCCCTTGCTCTTGGCGTTCTTATTTTCCAACGCCTCTACCAATGCGTATTTTGAAAACACATCTATGCAGGTTAAAATATTTTTTTTTTCCATCGTTGTGTTCCGATAGACCGGTTAAATCCACCAAGTCTATCTGCCACTGTGCGTCCTTTTTAAGACGCCAGTACGAAACTTCTTTTAAAGTTTCTTCTTCTGGGTTTGTGTAGCGTGTAAGTGTCTGAACTTTGTAAAAACTGTTCAATTTCACCGGTATTTTTTTAATCACACCATCCTCTCTCAGGCTTTTGATAAAGGGCTGCCTACCCCCAGACTGCCTTCCGCACCCGGTTTATGATACAACTCTTGCAGCGTCGTCTGAGACATGTTGAGGGCTCAAATGGCCGAGGTTTGAAAAATGTTAGGGTTTTATATTTTCTTCTGGGCAGTTTAAAAACACGGTCTAAAATAAATGTGGAGAAAACAAACTGATGACATGAAGACGACTTCAAAAGGTTTTTATGGTTTTTATTATTTTTTTTTGTTTAAAGGTTTTTATGTGTTTTTTATTTTTTTTTGTTATAAATGTTTTATTTCTTCTATTATTTTTTGGTGGTTAGTATCTAATCTACTGACAAACCGTTAGTCCAAGATATAGGTAAATTAGTTTCAAACTAAATGTGAGGAACATTGAAATATAAAATGAAAAATGGTTACATGATTTAAATATGAAAATGAAAAAAATGGTTACATGATTTAAAATATAAAAATTAAAAGGTTAAAATATAAAAATCAAAAGGTTACACGTTTCTACTAAAATATTAAAATGAAAAATGGTTACATGATTTAAAATATAAAAATCAAAAGGTTACACGTTTCTACTAAAATATTGAAATGAAAAATGGTTACATGATTTAAAATATAAAAATTAAAAGGTTAAAATATAAAAATCAAAGGTTACACGTTTCTACTAAAATATTAAATTGAAAAATGGTTACATGATTTAGAAATATTAAAATGAAAAATGGTTACATGGTTTAAAAATATTAAAATGAAAAATGGTTACATGATTTAAAATATGAAAATTAAAAGGTTAAAATATAAAAATTAAAAGGTTACACGTTTCTACTAAAATATTCTTGAAACAAATATGTGCAGTGTGAAAAAATATGACGAGGGATGTCATTCAAGTGCCTGTAGCTTCATAACTGCTCAGCAATGGTCCCTTTGAATTCGTTCATTAGACTGTGAGGGGCAGTTTACAAAGAGGTGCAGCACCACATACCATGACACCGCGGTAGTGACACTGCCTCAAGTATTTCCATAACTTCACTAAGTAATGCATGTGTGCATTAGAAATCATACAGTACTGGTGCAACACTAGCAGTGTTTAGTATGACAGGTCGATTTGAGTAGAACTAGCTTAGCTTAGGGTAAACAAACAAATAAATAAATATTTATTAAATATGTATTAGGTAAATAAATTTTGGTGGGATGTGAAGGACTAGTGCACAATGAGTTATAATGAGTTATAAGACAGGTTTGGTCTGAAGTTTGCTCCATGGAGATGCTAGGATAAAATTTCTAACAAATGCCAGACTTACATAATAAAACATCCCTCAACCCACGGATAATGCATCCTTATCAAAACACGGTATGAAGGAGGAAGAAATGTGCTGGCTGGACCCACCAGTGACTCGCTGGAAATGAATCATTATGCTGTGGTTTTTGACTTCACTGATGGGGGAGTGTTCCAGGATCCATCAGTTCCCTTTCTCTATATCCAAAAGAAGACAAACAAAGTTAGTAAACGGGCTGAAACAGTGAATCGAGTGAATCTCCCTGTATCTGTAAAACTGAAATATTTGAGAATCAGACAGTGATGCGGTGATGTTTTTACTTCTGACTGTGGTTTTAATATAATATTAGCATCTCACTGTGTCTCAGCACTGAGTTTCTGCTGTAGATGCAGTGTTTATTCTTTCTCATACTTAGGCCTGACGGTTGTGCTGCCCGCTGGGCTTGGTTTACAGGTCCTACGGTCTTTTGTAGATGACATAAAAGTGAAGCACTTTCATCATTTTTGATATTTTGGGTCATGCACAATGCAGGTTTACTTGTTGGATTTCAATCTTCATGTGACTGTGTGGCTTCAGGGAGCCGGGATGAACCTGCGCCGTGGTGGCATCCTAATCTACTGCAGTCCCTGGCTCGTCCTCCCGGTGTAACGAAAACAGCTGATGCTGTCAAAAGCTGACACTCTGTGTAAAATAATTCCTTCTAAAATTTGTGCACTTTCTTCCTTTTTAGTTTCTGGGGTAAATCGCATCACAGAAATTATTATAAATATTACAAATTATTCCATCCTCCGCTGAAACTGCTTTGGTGTGTACTAGAAGCAGCTTCTCTCGTCTCCTCCGGTATTTGGGCAGCCAGTAAGATGGCGTTACAAAATCGGCTTTCGACTCATGGAGGAGAGGAGGGGGATCGGCAGGCAAAAGCAGTAGCTTTTAGGTTTTCTGGACGCAGCCGAAGTATGTAATATGCCTGGCACATTCTTTCTTTAACATATTTTAGTATATTAGATTGTGCTAGGTTTGCAAAACTAAGCTTCTATGCAGCACTCCGCAAATGTGCATTTTCAGTGTGCACTAGTAACACATCTGCTGCAAATATAAGTCTATATAAACACAATAAGCCATCCAAGAGATGTTACCCATGTAAAATATACTTTTTTGGGTGCAAGAGGTCTTAAAGAAGACTGTACTGCTTCGGGAAGCTTTCGTTTGGCCATCTCTACCTTCTGGATCGCTAGTATGTTCAGCAGTTTCTCAATTCACAGATAATATCATCTGAAGTTTCTAAATAAATAAATAAAATAAATAAATAAATAAATGTATGCAAAAGAGAGAACTTACGAAATTTCACTTTCAGACGTCTGCGACACATCACTGAGCCATTGCAGCGGCACAAGTACCATCCCGCATCCTCGTACTCAGCATAGTCCAGGAGAAGTGACGCATTCTGCTGACTGACCTTCGTCCTGTTCTTAAACGCTTCTCCTTCCTCACAGACCTGCTGCTTACATTCAGCAACCAGCAACCTCTCCCACGGTTTCGTCCACCTAAGATCACCGTGACATGGCCTCTCACACGTGAGCTGAGCAGGAGCATCAGCGTGAGCTGAGCAGAAGCATCCGACCACCACAGACACACAACAGCCAAGCAATAGAGATGGGAGGAGGCAAACTAGAGAACGAGAGCAAGAGAGAGAGCGAGAAAGAGAGCGAGAGCGAGAAAGAGAAAGAGAGCGAGAGCGAGAGAGAGAAAGCAAGAAAGATTGCGAGTCAGACTCACATTGCAATTTTTACCACTTTGAATGAGAAATATTGGAAACTTGACTTAGACTTCTAGACAAATGACACAACACTTGAATTAGCTTGTGGATATGAGACCTGATAAGGATCGTGCAGGGGATTATTTTGATAATAGTTATTATTAAGATGTAAAGATGTAATAAGAAAATGTAAAAAAGTTGATTGTTTCTTTCACACATAGCAATAGTATAAACACGTACTCATCACAAAGAGGAGTTCACGCCGATCCATGATAAACCTCAGGGCAGCTGCTGTCGAGGACCTGAAAAGAAAGAACTGACATCATAAGTTAGCAGCGTGATGACAGACTCAATTATTCCTGTTTACATTAAACAAATATTCGTTGAATCAGCATTAGATGATGATGAACTTCATCAGGATGCATTGAAAAGGAAGTAATGAAGACCAAAAACTACTTAAGTACTAAGCAACTCTAGAACCTCAGTGGAAATTTTTAATACAAAGCCAATTCAAAAGGTTGAGTAAAATGTAGGTAAAATGCAAGAAAAAACCCAGAAAGTGATTTGCAAACTGTTTTTTAAAGGTATTTAGTTGAAAACAGCATGGAAAAAACAAACTTTATTGATTTTTGTGAATATTAAATAATTCCAAATTTGATGCCTGCAACTGCAAAGTTGGGACATGCCAGACTGGGAGGTTTGTGGAATGATCAAAAACAGAACTTTCCACAAGTAAACAGGTGAACAGATAACAGATGAAAGGTCATGAAAGGCTCAGTCACCGCTGAGTGACTGTGTGAGTGAATAGTCCAACAGTTTAAGAACAACGTTTCTCAACGCACGGTTACAAGTACCTTGGGGATTTTACCATCTACAGTCCCTGACATTATTAAAAGAATCACAGAATCTGAATCTGGAGAAATCTTTGTAGACAAAGGGCAAGGCCGAAAACCAGTACTAAAAGCCCCTGGCCTCTGACCCCTCAGACAGCACTGCATTAAAAACTGGCACGTTTCTGTAATGAATATAACCATGTGGGCTCGGAAACCATAGATCCACATTCCTGGATGCCGCGTTGTCTGTTGTTCTCTATCTGAGGCGATACGTCTGCATGTCCGTCACGTTGGAGCGGTCAAGGAAAAAAAGCATTTTCTGTCTGTATGCAATTCCTCCCTCTTGAATAAATGGTTACAAACGAGTTTTTCAAACAGAAATTCACGGCATTCAAAAGGTCCAGTTACTGGGGCACGGCGTTCAAAAGGTCCAGTTACTGGGGCACGGCATTCAAAAGGTCCAGTTATTGGGACACGGCATTCAAAAGGTCCAGTTACTGGGGCACGGCATTCAAAAGGTCCAGTTATTGGGGCACGGCATTCAAAAGGTCCAGTTACTGGGGCACGGCATTCAAAAGGTCCAGTTATTGGGGCACGGCATTTAAAAGGTCCAGTTACTGGGGCACGGCATTCAAAAGTTCATGTCTTTCCTTTTTGCTCACTTTTACGCACCGGAGCGCAGAGGGTCTGAAGGGGCTCAGGATCTCCCGAGTCTGCACTATAAAACCTGCTGGACAAGCCACGATTGGCTCAGTGGATGGTGATGGACTCGCTCCTAGTGAGGGAGGGAGAGCTACTGTGCACAGACGGACAGACAGTCAGACGTCGTCTTTATCAAAAATGCGGAGATATTTGTGAGTAAAAGTTTGTTTTTTATTGTGAGTCTTTTAAAACGTGGCGCGTGCAGTAAGGCAACAGTGGGTTTCTTTATTTCTGCTTGCGTTGTCCGGAGTTCTTGCAGTGTGCAGTATTGACCACCAGATGGAGCCAAATAACTGCATTAAAAAGGTTCTTCGACTAGATAAAATACAGACCAGTATACACGTAGGCCTTTCCCTTCACTACTGCTAGACTCTATAGAATATAGATTAAACGCTGATTTCATTCTTTCTCTAACTTTTTAAAGCTAATTTTACTGTATTTACAGTTTAAGTCTCTATAAGGTTTATGTTGCTCTTTGTTTTGCAAGCCTTGTTATTTCTTGTTATTCACAAACATTCACTACACTACAGTCCCTGTTTTCTCCTCGCAGCCCAAAACTGGCTCCGTGCTGTGAAGTCTGTGATTTTATTCTACGTCTTTTAAAACGAATCAGCTGTTTCGATTCACCGCTCTCCTTCATTTCTTCGTGTTGCCTGCTTTTCAATTCATGCAACGTGCAGTTTGGCCACCAGATGGCGCCATTCACACCACAGTGAAAAATAGTGCTTTAAATTAAAACGTGCTTGAATATATATACACAGTTTATACACACATGTAGGGCTGTACTGGTATGGATTTATTTCTGACTGTGATGAAAAATCATGGTGTCCCCGCGGTTTGACTGTTTATTGCCAATGCACTGTTTGGGTGCGGGATTCATGTTGTGCATTAGGTAAGGAGAAGAGAAACATTTGAGATACAGTAGGTATTGGATGGTAACTGTAAATTTGGTGTTTCCACGAGGAGAGGTTTGAAAAATGCACAACTTTTACAGTATCGCTTGCACCTGAATACTGTAATTTTTGGGCTAGTTTTAGCTTTCAGTGTGGGGGTTTTGAGCACACTTTGATCTGGAGATTTTTGTGTGACCTGGCAACCCTGGGCATCTCCCTTCTTGTTGTCAGCCGCTGTTGTATCCCATTCTGTTCCTCCTCATATTCACGTTCCCTTTGACAAATCAGGCCCTCTGGCACGCTCATTCACTGAACAGAAAACCACGGCAAACAACACTGGAACTATGGAAAGTGTACAGTAGCGAGTATTCACCCAATCAGCGATGAACAGCACATAAAGTAATTATCAGTACAACTGTTTACAGTTTACTTGAATTAAAAATATATGAAATATTTTTTCACGGAATCTAAACTATGTTTATGTTTTATGTTTGTTTATCTCGGCATTGTGTGACATGCAAAATAAAAAAGTGAAACAATATCTTGACACTAACACAACATATTATTACTGGATCTCTTACTGTTAATACAGTTTTTAGGGTAAATATTTTTTGTCAGACGAAATAACCTATGCAGACATGTTTCTCCTGTGAAAAACATTCTAAAAGAAGCTCAGCAATGGACACTAAACATGCAAATGAAATATAGAGTCATGATAATCTATGATGCACTAGCAGATACTTTAGAACAAAGCGGAACAGCGTTAAATTAAGGGCATTTAGAGAAGGTAAAACGCTGTTCTTAGTCTGTTCCTCACAAAAACCATAGTTTTTACAGCTAAAAGAACTAATGTTTAAGAAAAAGTCACATAATAATAATCCAGCTTTATCAGTGTTTTAAATTGCTACAAATTTTATGCAAACAAATGATGTTCAGAAGTACCTGCTTCTAGAATTATTCAGTAATATTAATCCTCCATAATGGAGCTTCTCTCAGCTGCAATTAGGAGGGGGAACCGATTTTGTATAAGGCATTTTAACTGATTATAAATGTTCCCCTTAACTAAACACTGGTCTGCAAGGTCTTACAATAATAAAGTGTGCTCACTGCCCCCTAGTGTCTGTGTGTTCACTAGTGTGCGTGTATGTGGGTGTTTCACAGCACTGATGGGTTAAATGCGGAGGTCTAATTCCTTTGTGTGTAAACACAAGTGGCTAATGGTTCTAATGGTTCTAATAATTGTAGTGTAGCTCTATTAAAACAGGTATGTAATGTGCATAAATGACAATTATAATGGAGCTTCTCTCAACAGAGTTGGACAGATTAGTCCGTCTATAATTGTTCTCTTTAATGGGAAACGGTCAACTTAGTTTCAGAATACGTCTCTCAGCTGTTAATGGGAAGGGGAGCAGATTTGGGCAGGGCATTTTACCTGTCTATACATGCCACCCCATAATTAAACACTGATCTGCTCAGTTCCAGATTGATAATTGCAACAACAACAACAACAACAATAATAATAATAATATTAATAATAATAATAATAATAATATTAATAATAGTAGTTATATAATAGTTTATATTTGCTGTTTCTGAGAGGAGGGTATGACTTGGACAGGGCTTTTTATCTGTCTGTAAATTTTGCCCATAATTTAACTGACTGGCTTAGTTCTGAAGTAATTCATACTAGTGTATCATACATTAATATGACTATATATTTCATCCTCATGTATATTGTCCATTATGGTGCTTTACTTAGCTGTATTTGACAGTAAAAACAGATGTGGATATTTCAGCTGGGTAGAAGTGTTTCCCTAAAAACTGTCTCTACATCTGAATAATTACATGGACCAGGGGTCTTTCATTAAAATTCAATAAGGTCCAGTTAGAGAAAATGTCCTCAAGCGAAGGTCCAGAACATCATAATGTCTAACTTACATCATGACTCAGTGCCATATACTGTTTACTGAAGTAGCCTAGTAGGTATATCAACATCTTATACAGTCAACAACTGAATATCAAATCAAATAAAGTACAATTCAGTAACATTTCAACAACATTTATTGTGATTTTTCTCTTTTTAGATCATGACGTGTGAAATAACTTCCCTCTGACTCACTTTCTTCTCTGACTGCTATGTGGCGTCACTCTATGTACCTATCACACTGATATTTACATCGCATGTGATTGGTCTGTGAGTCTCCCGGGCCGCTAAAGCTACCGTAATGACTAGAAAAGCTACGCCGACTAAAATAGGACCACCCCATCAAAACTGAATAATTCTCCATAGTTTATCGCTTATAGGTGCAGGTCCGCATAGGACAGCGTCTGGGTCCGGACCATTCTTCGGTCTGTATTACATTAACAACAAATGGTCGAATGGTTGGCCAGAGCTGGTTTATGAGAAGCCTGGCGACTGAGTAGGGTCTGACTGCAGAACAGGAGGCAGCAGTTTCAGGACCATGGTCAGGGAACAGCGGAGCTGTCATTTCGGTTCAGCCTTTGCGGGTCTAAGCAGCCTTCGACGGACGCACCTTTGTAGACCGCGTCCTTCGAAGGGTTCCGGCCCTGAATCGGGACTCGCTGTTAGTTTAAGGTCAGATTTAGCTTTGGCTGGTATGTATTAAAATGCGTTCGCCCGGTAGATTTTAGTTAATTAATTAATTAAGAGCCCCGTTTTGGGTTCAGCTGTAGCTTTGCCTCCTCGCTGTTCGTAAGCTAAGATATGAACCCTTTACCTGACAGTGCGAGTGAACCTGTACACTGACATCACACATCAGTGCTAAATCATGGCTGGTCGGTTGTTCATAGCATCCTTTAGAGCCGTGTTTTATGGAGGACCAGATTTGCCAAATTGAAAAATAAATAAAATTAAAAAATAAATGGCTCAGTAAATTAATCAATAAATAAATAAAAATAATAAATAAAGTATATACTGTTTATTGTGATTGTAATTATACACACATTTCCTTTTTCTGCAGTTATATATTTCTCGATTTATTTATTTATGTATTATTTATTTTGGTTTATTAATGACATTTTTATATTTTTTCCATATCTATATTTTTAACAATTGTTCGCTTTATTTTTTGATTCATGTATTCATTTTTTTCATCAATTCATTAATTTATTTATTTTTTCATTAATTAATTTATTCATTTCACTTCTTCGTTCATATGATAATGAGGGGGCGTGTTTTTTCACGTTCAGGCGGAGGAGAAGAGCTGATTAAACTGTTCTTTCACTCCATAAAGAGCTGCACGGACAGACAAACTTGCTGAAGAATAACTCTCGATGGCTCTACAGGCTGTATGTGAGAAGGGCGTCCGAATGTCTGAGTGATCTGAATTTTGCAGAAAAAGACGCTGAACCACCTCCTCCACAGTTCTGAACACTACGGGTCGACCTCTGAATCAGCAGGTCAGCTAAATGGACCAAACTGTCCCCACAGCCTCCAACGGGAGAGTCTATAATCCGGACCTGCATTTTCAGCCAGATCAGCCGAGACTCTCAGATCTCTGACTGTCTGCTGCTGTAAGAAGCCGTTACTGTACTGTCTGGTCCTTAGTTACCGCTGAGAGAGCAAGACATGACCAATCGATCAACCAATTGGAATATTAAGACGCTGTAACATCATTGACTGACAGCCCCTTTATTAACATAAGGACAAGAAATACAGAAATAAATAGAGAAATAAATAAATATAGAAATTAATAGTTAAAATAAATTAATAAAATAAATTAATAGAAAAAACAGAAAGAAATGTTAATAAAGAAACATATAAATAACAAAAAAAAATAAAAAAATAGTGAGAAGGGGAAATTACTAACAGACATAAATGAATGCAGACATATTAATTTATGTAAGATTTTAATTATTAATATATTAATTGTTATGTATATTTATTTATTTTTAGATTTATCATCATTATTCTTTGCAATTCTACTTCATATATTAATTTACTAAGTCATTTATTTTTCATTTTGGCAAATCTGGTCCTCCATAGTGTATGTGGTAAAGTAGTAAGTTAAATGGGGGCAGCAGACGTGTAAAAATCCTCCCGCTGCCCCTCAGAACGGGCTCTGAACTCGGCGCTGAGAAGGATGAGTCGGTGCATCCTCAGAATTTGGCCGAAAGAAGCATTTTTCTGGTAAATGTGACGTAGGAAGCTGCTGTATGAGAGCCGGATAACAGTTTGGAATAATAGCCAAGTACTGTTAGCACTGGCTTCACAAATCTCGAGGTCACGACACATCACTTATTTTAAAATCCACTGCAGTAAATATCAGTGGCCATACGAAGAAAATGAACTTACCGTGGTTCCCACTGCTGGCTGGTCTCAGCTGTGTGATCTTCTGTGTGATCTCCTTCTGTGTGAGCAGTGAGGGAGCAGTTCTCCACCAAGCAGCTTACGTGGGGCAGAGCAAGGGGACCTCTCAGCCGGATGCACACTCAGTTCCAGTAAAGTCACGTGCAAATACACTCTCTGCCAGAGTGGCAAAAGTACCCTAACGGCACAGTGACCCCTCTGCTAACCACACACTAGAAGACTTTGAAAAGACTTTTGAAAGACTGAAGTCTGACTCCCTCTCACATCTAAAGACGGTGCCATGGTTTTTAGTCACAGACTGTGATTTTGCAAAGACTGGAAATCTTTTAGTGTCACTATTTACAAGACTGCAACTAGATTTTTGAGATTTTCCCATCATGCACCTGGGGGAAATTTACAAGCAGATAAACTCTTTCCTTCCACTCTGTAGTGGAACAGACAGGAAGATACGCTGGCTGGGTGTGTAAAGATCTGGGGCTCAGTTCACTGTAGAGCTGTATATTCTGGCAGATCATCACCCAGAATCTTTAACTAACCTGAAAAATGTGCTGTTAATTTTTAATTTGATATAAAGATTTACACATCAACACAACATGCAGTGAGTCAGCACTGTCGACTGGGTGTCATGAACTAAACCATAAAAACAAACAAACAAAATAAGAAACCAGTGTAACAGAAAAAGCATTGATACATCACTGTTCCACTCAGAGAACCTGAACTATTAAAGCAGTTTACATTTTAAATTAATAGGATTATTATATTAAAGTGGAGCAGATTTGCCTTCTTTTTTACAGAGATTTCAGGCTCTGACGCATACATTCTCTCTCTCTCTCTCTTCCTCTCTCTCTCTCTCTGTCTCTCAATTCAATTCAATTCAATTCAATTCAATTCAATTCAACAAGCTTTATTTTCATGACCATATTCAGTTACAGTGCTGCCAAAGCATCATCAAAAGAACAAGAAAAATTAAAATTTAGAACGTTACAGAGTATAAAAACTCTTCATTTCATTTGATATTAAAATAATTGTGACAAGAATCACATAAAATAATAGCAAAAATAGTGCTTTGGAAGTGAGTTGAAAAGAAAATGAAGAAGAAAAATAATAATAATAAATAAAGATGTTTACAAACAGGGTAGGCAAGCACGCTGGTGCAATGGGCAGCGCTGTTGCCTTACAGCAAGAACGGCCTGGGTTCGATCCCTGGCCCGGCGACCAGGGTCCTTTCTGTGTGGAGTTTCTCATTATTATTGATGCGGCTAAATTGGGGGTGAATCTTCGCAAATTTATTAAAGTATATTTTCCTTAGTGTTTTGTATTTGTTACACTCAGTGAGGAAGTGCAGCTCCGTCTCTGAAGTGTTACTGTCACACTGCTGGCAGAGTCTCTGCTCTTCAGGCAGCCAGGATCTCTTATAGCAGCCGGTCTGCACGGCCAGGCTGTGGTCACTGAGTCTGTACTTTGTCAGTGTGGTTCCGTGTTTAGTGTCAGTCACTGTGTTCAGGTTCTCTGCTACAGTGTACTGACGTTTTAGGGCCAGATAGCACTGCATTGTGCTCTGTGTGTGTGTCTGTGTTCCAATGGGTGATGTAGTTCTGTTTTTGGAGTGTTATAATGTGGTTTGGTCTGATTGTGTGTATTACAGGCTGGTCCTGCCGGGTAACAGTGTTAGTGTGTGTTAGTGAACTCAGCGTCAGGACCAGCTGTGTGAGGCGGCTCCTCTCTTTGCTCAGCTCTTGGCATTGCAGGGCTTTGTAGTGATAATAATGGGGGTCACTGTGTTTTAGATGTAGCCAATATTTAACGGTTCTTTTTTGGATTTGGAGCAGAAATTGGCCTAATTCAGCTCTGCAAGCGTTGTTCGTTGTTCTCCTGTGCACTCGCAGGATGTTTTTACAAAATTCAGTGTGCATGATTTTTACTTAGGGTGGCATGGTGGCGCAGTGGGTAGCGCTGTCGCCTCACAGCAAAGATGGCCTGGGTTTAATTCCCGGCCGGGTGACCAGGGTCATTTCTGTGAGGAGTTTGCCTGTTCTCCCCGTGTCTGCGTGGGTTTCCTCCGGGTACTCCGGTTTCCTCCCACAGTCCAAAAACATGCAGTCAGGCTGATTGGACATGCTAAATTGCCCCTAGGTGTGAATGTGTATGTCTGTATGTCTGCCCTGCGATGGACCGGCGACCTGTCCAGGGTGTATCCTGCCTTCTGCCCAATGACAGCTGGGATAGGCTCCAGCACCCCACCGTGACCCAGAAGGATAAGCGGTTTAGATGATGGATGGATGGATGGATGGATGATTTTTACTGGGTGTTTGTCCCAGAGGTCAAAGTTTAGATTTGAGAGTGGCCCCCATACCTCACTGCCATACAGGAGAATCGGTTCTATAACTGATTGGAATAGCTTGAGCCAGATTTGAATTGGTATTTGAAGGTGAATTTGTCGTGTGATTGCGTAAAATGCCCTGCGCGCTTTCTCTCTCAGCTCATTGGCTGCTGGATTGAAGTTTCCAGTTGAACTGATCTTCAATCCTAAATAACTGAACGCTTTACAGTTTTCTAATCTGTGTGTCCCTAGTGTTCAGGTTTACTGCCAAGGGCCCAGGTCTGGCGGTACTGCTCCAGCAGGTCCAGGTTCTGCTGTAGGCCCTGCTCTGTGGGGGAGAGCAGAACCAGGTCATCTGCATAGAGCAGGAACTTGATTTCTGAGTCGTGCAGAGTGAGACCAGGTGCTGCAGAGCGCTCTAAAGCTGTGGCCAATTCATTAATATAAATGTTGAATGGAGTTGGGCTTAAGCAGCAGCCTTGTCTCATTCCGCGCTCCTGAGAGAAGAAAGCCGTCCTTTTGGTACCAATTTTTATACCGCATTTGTTATTTGTGTACATGGATTTAATGATGTCATATGTTTTACCCCCAACACCACTTTCAAGAACTTTATAAAATAGTCTGTTGTGCCAAATAGTATCAAAAGCTTTTTTGAAATCAATGAAACATGCAAAAATTTTGTTTTTATTTTGATTTACGTGTAGATCAATTAGGGTGTGCAGGGTGTAAATATGATCTGATGTGCAGTGATTTGGTATGAATCCAATCTGAGTTTTACTCAAGACACTGTGCTTCATAAGGAAGTCTATGATTCTGGAATTGATAATGATGCAGAGCACCTTCCCCAGATTACTGTTCACACAGACACCTCGGTAGTTATTAGGGTCGAATTTAGCTCCACTTTTGTAGATGACCTCGACTCCAGATGTCAGGGAAATAACCTGCACTTAAAATCATGTTGAAAAGTTTGAGAAGGGCAAATTGGAATTTTTTGCTTGTGTTTTTAATCATTTCATTTAATATGCCGTCAGGCCCACTTGATTTTTTAGGTTTTAGATTAGATATTTTATCTCTAAGTTCCTGCTCAGTAATGGGGGAGTCCAGGGGATTCTGGAACTCTTTTATTACCAATTCTAATGTATTTAGTTTTTCAGTTATGTGGTTTTGTTCAGGTACGATCTTGCTGGGTACTTAATTATATGATGATTTGAAATGTGTGATCCATAAGTCTCCGTTTTGGATGACCAGTTCCTCTGATTTTGGTTTGTTTAGGGTGTCCCAGTGTTCCCAAAAACTATTTGTATTTATGGACTCCTCCATTAGTGTCAGCTGTGCTTGTGTGTGTTGTGCTTTTTTGATTCTGAGTGTACGTTTGTAAAGTCTCAAAGTCTCACAGTATTGAAGGCGTAAATCTGCAGTATTTGGGTCTCTCTGTGTTTTTGATTTGATAATTTCCTTAATTCTTTCCTAATTTTCTGACATTCGATATCAAACCACTTATCATCAAGGTGTCTAAAAGTCTTTGAAGGTCTCTGATCGCTTTCTGGAACTCCTCTGTGCTGTTTTGGGCCCATCTGTATGGCCTCCTGATGCTGTACAGCTTACTGGGCTGAGTGTGTGCAGTTGTGTTAGTCTCTGTCCTTTTAATGAACACAGTGATTTGGCTGTGGTCAGACAGAGGGGTTAGAGCTTTAACAGTGAATGAACTGAGAAAGAAAGGGTCTAAATCTGTTATCATATAATCTACTGTACTATTTCCAAGAGGTGAGCAGAAGGTAAATCTCCCTAAAGAGTCCCCTCGTAACCTACCGTTGACAATGTACAGACCCAGACTCTGACAGAGCTGCAGGAGGTCCTTTCCGTTTCTGTTCACCTGTGAATCAGAGTTGTATCGGGGAAGGTTAGGGATATTTCTTGGGTATTGGTGTCCGAATATATAATTGTTACCTTGCTCGGTATTGAAGTCAGGTAGAGATCCAGTGCGAACATTCAGGTCCCCACAGATCAGCACACTTCCCTGGGCCTGGAAGCTGCTGATCTGATCGTGCAGACTGGGGAAAATGTCTTCGTCATAATAAGGAGATTCACTGGGAGGGATGTAGACTGTGCATAAGAAAAGGTCTTTTGGAGTGTCAGTGATTTCCTTTTTAATCTTAAGCCAAATATGTGATTTTTCAAGTTTCAGTGGGACTATGAATTTTGATAGCTCTGATTTGTACCAGATAATAATTCCACCTGAATCTCTACCTTTTGTAATATGAGGGTGTTTAACAGAGGGGATGATTATTTCTTTGTAGTTTGTGGGACAGTGAGTGATGCTGTCTGATTTACACCAGGTTTCTTGTAGGATGATAATGTCAGTGTTTTTTGTGTTTTTTGTAAATTCATGGTTTTTACCTTTGTATCCAAACAGAGATGATTTTATGCCCTGAATGTTCCATGTAAAAATAGATAAGGGTTTCATTTTTAACATGAATGCAAGTACAAATAAATAGATTTTAAGGAGATAAACCTGTGTAAGTGAGGGGACTATTGGTGTATGTGACATATAGACAGTCATTAACAAACTATGTGCAATTACATTACGTGGCTCTGACAGGATGGACCGTGGGTCACCATGGATGGATTGTGGGTCAGAATGGGTGGGGCATAATTTGAAGTGGGCAGGTATAAGCTCTGAGTTGGCGGGCTCTGGTCTGGAATGAGTTGTTGATGCCGT